ACGATTCTTCAGATGTTTCATACCAGGTCTCTTTATAGAAGTATTGTAGACAAAATATTAAATACAGTTTTAGGGATACATATACATACAGTCATTGAAGCTGTTTTGCTTCGAATCAGTCAAGCAGCAGGAGACCGGAGACTCAAGATAAGCATATGTGAGTCTTCAACAAAGTCGTTCTTTGCCTCCAGGTCGTACCTAGGAACTAGCCTCGGCTTGATCCAGGATCTCATCCCATTGGATTCTCAACTCTTCCATTTGCTTCCAGCACTGGCGTCCAAGTTCCTCGAACTCTTCCCTCTTCTCCTTGGTAAGATCTTCCGCGCCGCGCTTACGACGTCGGAGTCGATCGGCCTCAACAACAGGTGTACCGACAACACCTCCATGTCCCCAGCCGTCGACCTCAGTAGAGACCGAACTTTCAATTCCACCACGCCCGCAAGACGAACCCCATTTCGCTCTGCCACCACCGGCCCGGTGGTAGGGTTCTTCAGCGGCTTCTATGTCAGCCTGCGATGCCAGCGCGAGGAATACTGGAGCACAAGCGCCGAGATAAGTAGACAATGGATGCCAAGGCGAACCCAGCATCCTCGCAGCCCAGAAAGCAGCAATCATCGCCCAGGCAAGGGGAAGAATAAGCGGGATGATCGATGTGGCGCAGATACCAGGGTGAGAGAGATATGTGCGCGGGGTCGCGTTGGGGGAATCAGTGTGAATAGCATGGGTGTCAAGCTCCGTTTCGGACCGCAAGAAGCTATCGACTGCCCAAGGTGCCGTACTCGGCAGATTGGAAGTCAGCGCGAGGATATCAGTGAGAGCCTTAGAAGACTCGTACGGCGCATCAGTGCGCAAACCCTGGATATCATCGATCTTGAAAAAGTTCCAAGTCGCCTCGAGACTGGAAACCCAGACCACACGGCCGGGCCCATTCGTGCGCGCCCGCTTCAGCAGCGGGGCCACATTGTGCGCTAGCATATAGTGTCCGAAGACATTTGCGCAAAAGACTGCTCCGAGTGCGGGCTCTTCTTCTGTCTTTGTTTGCTTTGCTGTTAACACGCCTGTCGGCGCGAGCTTGTAGGACGGCCAGGTCACCGCGTGCAGGAGATCTGTGCATACATCCCAAATGGCCCTGGGCCAGTTGATGCCGGACCACCCACCTAGCCCAGCATTGAGGACAATCGAGTCGAGTCGGGGGAGAGTGTGGACTAGTTTTCGAGAGAGTTCGCGCACTGAGCGGAGGTCGCCGAGGTCGACGCTCTCGGAGACGAAGTGGACGCGCGCTGCGGCGGAAACGGAAGGGGAGGTTGATTGGAGGTGTGCTTCAAGTCTGCGGATTGTGTCTTGGGCTTTGCGCGCACTTCGAGTTGTGAATATTATGGTGAGAGATTCAGATTCTGGGTGGGAGGAGAGGAACTCGTCGGCCAGACGGCAGCAGATAGAGAATCCGAGACCGCTGCGGTTGGTCTCAAGTTAGTATAGGGAATTGAGCTAAATGGGTTTGTTGGGAGCTTTGTACCTGTTAGCTCCTGTCACCAGGATGTGCAACATAGTTTGCTGCTCAGTAACAGACTTGGCCTGATCCATGGCTTGTGCTTAGTGAGTTTGTTGACTCGGGCCTTTTCTTTGATATCGGAGATAGGGGTTATGTGATAAGATGTGCGACAATTCAAGCTAGCGGAGGCTGGAGATGTTGTTGCTTGTTGTCGCAACAGTTAGGGCAAATGAAAACCTGCCGCACCTTAAATGAAAGGAATCCCTTGGAGTGAGTACTGGCAATTGTCTGCTGTTGAAAATCCACCGAACGAGAAAGTACCTCCCACACAGATCACGTGTTCAACTTTAAATCTTATCCTTATCGGAATCGTTGATGTTGTTCCCCGTCATACTCGCTCCTCACACTTCATGGCTGGAATCTGCTAAATCTCACCCAAATGTCGTACAGTCGACATACGGGAAGTCATGGCAGTCATACTTGAGCGATTTCTCAACACAACCGGGTTCTTCTTCTTCGCCCTCATCCTCTGCTGCCTGATGATCCTCACACCAGTAGACGCTATCTACCAATGCTACGAGACGAATCGACTCACCAACGTCTTTTTCATTGTCGGCGCATATGTCGTAACTTTTTTAATTGCAGCCCTAATCTATGCGACGCGTATCTACACAAATCGGAGTGCACTCACCGGCATACCCAAAGCCTGGATCCCCGTGGAAAAGGAAGATGTGAACAAAAGCGTCAGGCGACTGGTGAAGGAAGGCCTCGTCCGCAGCGCCGTCATCGCGTATCAAGCCCGCCCGCGCGATATCTCCACCGACGAGGACAACTTCCAAAAATATAGAACGCTTCTTATTGACCCCGAACGGCCCCCATGGGGCCATGTCGAACACCCCGGCTGGTCCTCGCCTGATTCGCCAGACTTACCAGATCTGCCATACCGCACAGTCATACAGGAGCTACCCAGCTTGATTGAAGCCAAAGCTGTCTCTCTTGCCCCTGCCGATTTATTATCGCCGGCGCCCACATACCACTTCGATCCCTCAGGCGACCTCACAACACACTCTCTCCCAGATACACGCGTGGTGGAAGTATTACAACGTCCTGCCTCAATGGGTCTAAGAGAATATATCCGCCATCTGACCTCCCTTGGGGCTATCTATCCGCCAGAACTCGGTGCAGATTTCCTTGCGCTGTACGAACAAGCTCGATTCTCGCCGCGCGAACTACACGAGGCGGAATTTCGCGACCTGATGCATCTCTTTGCAGAGATCCTGAGAGGGATGACATCCCTTTCACCGCCGATCCTGGATGAAATTCGCGACAGCGCAAGCTATCGACGAGCGTATAGCGAATCTAACATCGGGCCCTCAGACGAAGAGGGAGAAACAGATACCGTGGGAACATATGGTTACGACGGGGCTCTAGAGTCTATGCGTAGTAATAGCCTTCGCCCATCGAATGCGTCTACCTGGGAAACCCAGTCCGGGTATGACACTGCGCCCGCAATGCAGAGCCCCGCCTCGGAACTGTCGACAGATAGTGGATCCTTCGCGACACGAAGCTCTTTTCGCACACCTTCTACGAGGTCTCTACGACGGGTGGCATCGGGCCAATCTGGCAGTTCGGGAGGGAGTGTCATTCGTCTGGCGCAGCCACGAGATCCGACAGACTTGCCGTATACAATTGTCTACGCTGGACGTAGGCAGTGATAATATTCCATTCATACCCTGTATATTACTTATAGAGCAACGCCATTTGGTCACCCAATTGCGCCAATTTTAGAAGTGGGGGACTTAGTCATGCGGAAAACATTCCGAGGTCTTGGCGAACCTGCAAAATGATTGATAAGATCAATTTATCTTTTGACCACGCGTCATAAGGAAAAGAGTCCAAACTGCCGGATTTTCTCCTTTCTTGGACCGTTGAAGAAAATATCCATATCCTGTAAAAATGCATCTCTTTCGCCGAGGGACTTCCTCCCTTTTTAACTCCTCCAATGTCTCTGCCGCCTCCTCCAAGACCGACATCACCACCGATGCTGTGGGCGACAATGCCCTTGCCGCCGAGGGGTTTCAAAAAATCTCATCGAGCGATAAGCTCTTCAAAAATGTCGATCCAACGGTAGACGGTGAAGACTGCCTACACGACTGTGCGTCATGCACAATCAAATACCCCGCAAAATTCGATGTCGATCACCAAGACGAACTATATGGACAAGTCAATGGATGGGCGACACACATGCTCGTCGCAACGGGCAAGTCAGACTGGGTGAGAGATGTGGCAGACGAGAAAGGGAGCGTTATGGAAGCCATTGAGAAGGGAGGACTGGAACCGAGCAACGGGGTATGACAATATCCACCACAATCCCTCTTTGCCTACCAAAGCCAATGTACACAGAAGCTAACAACAACCTTCTCACAGCGACTTAAACTGTCAGCATCAAATATGTGCGTCCCAGACGAATACCACATGGCTGACGCCGGCAAACAGCCAACAAACGTTCTCTTGCTGCCCAGCTTCACCATCGTTGAACACGTCACTCCACAGCTAGTCCCAGATCTGATCGAGAACTTTGTCAACCGGTCTCTGACAACAACAACGCCACTAGGCGCAATCCCACCCTCGCCAGAAAAACTAGCAGAGGCAGACAAAGACCAAGACCCCACACAAACACAAGACCTCCCACACCCATCAACAACATCAATCACCACATCCCTCAAGTCTCACCCCTGCCCGCATGCAGCAGTAATCCTGCTCTGCTCACAGCGCACGCGTGATGCACGCTGCGGTCAATCGGCACCCCTACTCCGCCGCGAGTTCGAGCGCCACCTGCGCCCGCTCGGTCTATATCGTGACATGAACGACCAGCGGCCTGGCGGTGTGGGTATCTACTTCATTAGCCATGTGGGTGGACACAAGTACTCTGCCAATGTGATTGTCTACCGCCGTCGGGACTTCGATTGGTACAAGCGTGATGCTCCTGCGGATGGGGAGGGGCAGGGCCAGGATGAGGGTGCCGCGCAGGGAATCTGGCTGGCGCGTGTGCGGCCGGAGGAGTGTGAGAATATTATTCGGTATACTGTCTTACAAGGCAAGTTGCTCAAGGCTGGGCAGCAATTGCGGGCTGGGTTTGATCGTGAGCGCGGCGTGACGAGTTGGTAAAGTTGGTAAAATTGGAGTTGGGTTAGATTGGTTGGAAGTTGGTATGGTGGATATAGTAAGGTGTCTTACGGACATATTACCATACTGGGCTGATTTTGGGTTGCCTGATGTATCTCATGTGCTTATAGTGCTCTATATGTGGACCAAGACCCATCTTTTAGTTACAGATCTAACCCCAATTCATGAGTTAGTGCGTCCATCCATACAGGCACTTCGAAAATCCGAAAAAAAAAAAACTATCAGAGTAAAATGGTGAAATCTTGCTGACACTGCAGAGGTCTAAGAGTTTGGCCCATCACACAGAATCAAAATTGTAGCTCTAGTAATCACACGTTCAACATCAAATTTCGGCCACGCGAATAACAATCTTGCCTCTCGCATGTCCCGTCCTCAGCTTTTGGAAGGCCTGCGGCACCTCCGCAAATGTGAAGCTGCTATCAATCACTGCCTTAGCTTTACCTTCAACCATCCACTGCGCAATTTGCGCTAAAAGCTCGGTTGAATTCTTAGCGTTCACAAAATAGTACTTGCAGCCGCCTATTGGAAGGGATGCAAGTAACGACCTTTTGATCGTAATTGCAATACTTCGGAGGTCTAAGCTGCCGCCAATACCCACCTGAACGAAAGTGCCACTGGGCTTAAGGATCGTAGAGCTAAGATGGTACAAATCCGAGGTATTCCCAACATTGTCGACAACGAGGTCGAAACTAGCAACTCGAGTTTTTAGCTCTGCGATAACATCTGATTGTCTATAGTCAAAGACCTCGTCAGCGCCGAGTTCCTTGCACATGTCGACGGCTGAGCCTGAGCACGAGGTGACGACCCTGGCGCCCATGGCCTTTGCAAACTGCACACTCCAGCTTCCAACGCCACCGCTGCCACCGTTGATGAAGATAGTAGCCCCAGGCTTGACACCTTCAGGCAGAAGCGACTGCAGAGCCGTCGTCCCCGCAGTCGCCGCTGCGGCGGCATGTTCGGGGTCGATATCGTCAGGCAGTGCGGCACATTCAGCAGCTGAAATAACCGTGTACTCTGCTAATGTACCGTTTTGTGGAGCACGCGAGAACCCACCGAAGACAAGCTGGTTCTCCTTGAAGGTGATTACTGAGGCGTGGGCGGCAACAACTCGGCCGCAGAGGTCAAAGCCAGGAATGGCGGGGCGGCTTATAAACATAGACCCCACGCTCGACTCAGGGAGCTTATAATCGACTGGATTGAGGGCGACGGTAAGAACACGGACAAGGATTTGGCCTTGAGTGAGAGACGAAGCTGTTGGGATGGGACCGGTGACCATCTGAATGGCATCCTCGATGTTGCCTTTGATGTTGGCGTACTGCCACATCTTCATTGTATCTGCCATAACCATATGATAATGGTTGGTGGATCTAGCTAGATGCCACAAGGAGAATGATGTGGTTGGTGTAAGGAACAGTGGGTTTAGCCTACCACTTGGTGGAGAATACAAGAAGAGTGATAGGTACCTAGGTATTTACTTAAATGCCATCGTACTTCTGGGACGGAGATCTTCTTTACCGGCCATCCGACGGCAGTCACTCATCCCGAAGCCCGACTGAAAACCCGTACATCCCCCACACCCACCCCTTAGCAACATGTACTATATCTACCTTTGTACTAGTAATCCTTGCGCTAACGGCTTTGGGACTAAATACCTACTAATACGAATACGCATCCCGAAACCTAAACCGAGATAAGCACCTTAAAAATCTCGGAAGCGATGACATCCGATGAATGGTCAAAGCTGCTAGGGTTCCGAGGCATTTTTCACTTTGCATGATGCTCTCACGTTTGGTCTCGTAGAAATGTTACAACGAGACCGCTTTCCAACGCGCTAGCCTTTCCTCTAGAACGATGCTTATATTACGGCGATAGAAGTGCACACTTCATTATCGTGTCTCTATACATTTTGAACTCGCTAGAAGCCTCTATCAACCCGTACTTGTCGGGGATGAGAATCCTGCAGATACTATTTGTGGAACGATAGGGGCTGCGATGAAATATTCCCAGATGCCAATAAAAGGTAAAATAAATGCAATTGTTAAAATGAGCAAATACCACTTTGACAGAACCGTTGAAGAAATATGGTCTCTTCCCCAAATTATTAGGCAGCAAGAGCTTCAATTGTAGCAATTACTGCCCTAGCCACGTCCCGTCCATCGGCCCATGGATCATCATGTTTACCAAAGATCTCGAACATTTGCACATAGCCCTCACCACCAAGTTCTAGCACGTTCTTCATGCGGTCTAACTGGCTCCAAGGGACGAGTTCATCATCCTTCGAATGGGCCAATAAAATTCGAGAAACTCCAGCAGCCTTGTAGGCTTGCGCCTCGGCTAGAGCTGGGCTGGCGATACCTTCCTCGCCTCTCGCCATCGCATTGAAAGTGAGGGCTTCATATTCAGGGTGAGACATGTGGATTAATGGGAAATCATAGATACCACTAAGTCCGAGAAAAGCCTTAGGAGGGACGATACCGTGCGATTTAATGCCCTTGATCGCGGTCAGGAAAGCAAGAGTGGCCCCCACACTGTGACCAACAAGGACATAATTTGGGCCGAACGAGTATTCTGTCTGCAACCGAAGAATGCCTGCACATACATCTTCTAAGTGTTGTGACCACTGTGCATTGCGTAGCTCAAAAGTTGGAGTCGAGGGATCTTGTGGGTGCCTGGCCGAAGGAGATAATCGGCTTCTCTTCAATATATTTGTACCAAGCGCTTATTTGGAAAGACACGCACATTTTACCGCTTGCTATTTACTTTAGGCCTTTAGTATCAAGTCACACCAGTTCCTCACATTTAAAACTATATGTATAGAACGGTAGAGCCCTTGGCCAACTATGCAGGGCCTAGAGATTGAATCACATATTGTCAAGTTGAAGCTTCAATGCCAGAGGGCGCATACGTGACCGGCTATTATTGTCATAGCAATCCAGGTACGTATTTTGATTGCTGACAGTCTAAAACAAGGCAGAATTTAGGCCTATTAAGGTATTAACCCTACAAAATCAGGGATTTGACCTTGGGCAGCTCTGCTCCTTCGCACTACCCCGCAGGAGAAAAAGAAAGCACACTCTGAACACACCATGAAGCCAATATCACTGTAAACAACGGCGTCTCTCTTCCACAATCCATTAAAGACGAGCCTCTTTTTAAGATGGTTCTCCGCGGATTCCGGAAACTCATTCACAAACGCCGCCATAAAAATACTTCTGAAAGCATTCCTACCATCTCATCACAGGCTTCCGGGTTATCTTCGCTGGTGGATACTTCGCGCGACTCCGATTGTGTCTTAGAGACTTCCCATACGGGTTTTAATGGCTCCCGAGACTTATGGCAGGAAGCTTTCAAGAAACTCGATCAGGCTACTCAAGAGAAACTAAGATCAATTCGAAATGCGGAAGACAGCATCCGGCCCACCGCGGAAGAACTTCTTCAGACCGTAATCCAAGACACGCAAAGACAATACGACGAAGAGCGAAAGCGAGTCGAGGAAAGTAAATCCCGCCAGCTGAGAACCTTAGCCCACAAGATCCTCAGCGCAGCCCTGTCCTTTCAGAGTGTCATAGGCGCCGTGGCGGCCTGCGATCCCACTGGACATGCTGCCACAGCCTGGACGCTCGTGTCCCTTGCCCTCACGGTAGGTTAAAGCATAGGTTTTATCGATCCCGAGGCGTCTAATTTGCTAATTAGATTCTCTGTTTGAATTCCAGATGTCTAAAAATCGACATGACTTGCGCGGAGCCGCATTCGAGTCCTCGGGATTCCTAGCCGATACCCTCACTCGATACGCTATGGTGGAGATGGATTGGCGAAAATCAGAGGGCACCAACGCGCAGACCCATTTGGAAAATGCATTAATAGACACATATTTTGCCATTTTGAAGTATACGGCAGAGACGGTGGCGATTCGCCAAGCGAGTGTTGGGAAGATGACTTTTCTGAGTGTCAATGCATTGAATACTCAGCCGCTAAGCACGCTCAAATCCGCCATTGGCGAACAAGATCAGCGTCTTCAAAACTGGATGCGGGTGATAGAGTCTCGTCGTCAACATGAGGAAGCTGAGGAGCTCCTCAAGAAGATCGACGCGATCACAGGCGATATACGAAGCTTGATCCAAGACTTTGAGGTCTCCAAACTCACGATCGCCGAAGGAGCGGCATACGACTCTCACGCAAATGAACATAACGAGGAGTGTCTCAAAGATACCAGGACCGACTTGCTTAAGCAGATTATGATGTGGGCGGCTTCTCCGAAAGAAAAGTGCATCTTCTGGCTGAGCGGCATGGCAGGTACTGGCAAGTCTACAATCTCAAAGACTATTGCGAGGGAGCTCCGAGAGAAGAATTACCTTGGGGCTAGCTTTTTTTTTAAAAGGGGCGAGGCCGATCGTGGCAATGTGAGCAGATTCTTTGCCACCATTGTCAGACAATTGATTGTCCAAGAGCCTCGACTCATCCCGAGTGTCAAACAAGCGATTGAGAATGACTTCAGCATTGCCACAAAGCGGCTTCCACAGCAATTTGAAGCTCTCATCTTGAAGCCTTTATTAGCTCTGAATAACAATTATTCACGGGACTCGGTACTGATACTGGTAATTGATGCACTGGACGAGTGCGACAACAATGACGACGTTCGGCTGCTGATTGATCTCCTACCCCGGATTCAAGAGTCAAGAGCTATTCAAGTTCGCATCTTTATTACCAGCCGTCCAGAATTTATCATAAAGGTCGGGTTTGAAGAAATGTCTCAGGATGACCATGATAATGTTGCCCTGCACGAGATACCTGTTGAGACAGTAAAGCAGGATATATCGCTATTCGTGAGACACAGACTATCTCAAATTGTGCAGAGAAGACCATCACCTATTGACCTCTCCGGCTGGCCCGAAGAGAGTGACCTCTCGCAACTGATCCAGATAGCCACTCCGTTGTTTATCTCTGCAGCCACAATGTGCCGATTTATTGAAAATCACAAGAAGGACCCGAGGGAACGCCTGAAGATGATCCTCAAGAGTCAGCCCGCTGACGCGAAGAGTGCGTCTCACATATCGACATTGCGCCACACATACCTCCCGATATTTGACTCGATCCTAGAAGGCGAGGATAGGAATGAACATGCACAGTTAGTCAGTGATTTCAAAGCATTGATCGGGCCCCTTGTTCTCCTGGCCGATCCGCTGCCCATCAGTGCGCTGGCATGCCTTCTCGATATTTCCGAATCAGAAACCAGTATCCGATTGAGTTTCCTTTCCTCGGTGATTTCTGTACCGAACAACAGTAGTGATTCAGTAAGGCCTTTCCATCTATCCTTCCGAGACTTTTTACTCGCTGCTGAAAATCGCAACATGAACCCCCCGTTCTGGATTGACCGGGTGGCGACACATGCGCAAGTAGCTCTGGATTGCATCAGAGTGATGCAAAGACCAAAGACGGGCTTGCGCATGAATCTGTGCAATCTGCCGAGTTACGGGGCCTTGAGATCGGAAATCGATAGGGAGAAATGCAATCAAGATATCCCCGCTGAGCTCAGGTATGCCTGCAGGTATTGGATTCACCATCTGGAGCAAGGAAAAGCTGCTTTGAAAGATGGTGACGAAACACATCAATTTCTCGAAAAGCACTTTCTGCACTGGTTTGAAGCGATGGCTCTGTTGGGCTATGTGTCCGAGGTCTTGATTAATATCAACATCCTACGGATATCAACAGAGGTAGGTCAATGTAGGACATATAAAGGTGTGAGACAGTATCTAATCAGGACTAATTAGGCGCATACTGGATCAATGTTGGCCAACTTTTTATACGACGCTTGGCGCTTCATTCTCAAGAACCTGAGTATTGCCGATGAGGCGCCCCTCCAGCTATACTCTTCATCGCTTGTGTTTGCACCGCAAAACTCAGTCATTAAGAAGAAGTTTGCAGAGTATCTGCCTCGGTGTATCTCTCATCTACCACTCGTGAAAGTGGAATGGGGGGCAGATTTGCAGTCTCTTGGTGACAGTGTCCATGGTGTCAACGGTCTGGCATGCTCACCTGATGGTGGGCTGATTGCTTCAATAATGAAATTCGGTGAAATCAACCTATGGAGCACAGTCACGGGAACTCTTCGTCAGAGCTGGAAAACTGGCATTGGGGAGTCAACGCTCATTTACGGGCTGGCATTTTCTCCCGATGGCAAACTGCTAGCTTTGGGGTCTAGCAAGGGAACAAGCCTATGGAACATGTCATCCGGTACACTGTCCAAAGCCCTTCCTAATCGACTTTGGTCGCCAAGTCGACCCGCCTTCAGCCCTGATGGAACAGCATTGCTATTACAGGACAAGTCTACCCAGCCAAGCACACTTGGATTGTGGGACATTGCTCAAAGCAGGTTTATGCAGAATCTAGAGGGCCACATCGATGGGCTTAAGTCCTTAGTAATCTCCCACAATGGCCAAATCGTTGCAACAGGATCTGATAATGGCATATTGAGGTTATGGACACTGAATGTGAACAGAACTGTTCCAACTCAAATCCAGGCGCATTCTCAGCCCGTCGAATCTCTAGCCTTTTCTCCTGATGATGACCTGATAGTAACGGGCTCCAGCGATTGCGAGAACTACGTGTGGACTGTCAAAGATAGCACACGGCTTCACAGGCTTGTGGATAAAGAAAATGGCTACAGAGCAGACACCTCTGTGGAATTCTCATGCGATGGCCGGTTGGTGGCCTCTGGATTCGGTGATGGCATAATCAACATGTGGAACAGCACCTCGGGGGAATTGGAACGAAGCTTTTCCCATCCGTCCCCGGTTAAGACGATGGCTCTCTCTCATACTGGCGAACTGATCTCTGGTTCCAGCGATGGCGTGGTCCGCATATGGGATACATGTATCGAAGATCAGGTTTCACGTGTCAGACATCCAGATTTTTCTACCGCCAAAGTCCGTGTAGTAATGTCGCCAGATGGAAGTCTTGCTCTGGCAATCAGGTATAGTCATGGGGCGACTGTCGTGGATATTGCCACGGGCAGAACAATGTGGCTGACTGGCTCGGATTGGATATTCTCTTTTGATACCATTTTCTCTATCAATAATCAGTTGATCGCTGTTGCCTTGATTATGAATGTGATGATCTGGGACAGAGCAAGCGGAAAATTGATTCAAGATTTGCGCATCTCAAACAATAAACCAGTCAGATATCGAATTGCGTTCCGACCAGATAACAAACTCATAATTTGGGTGCCAGGAAACGGTCAGCTCCAGGTATGGGACCCAATATCTGGGAAGCAACTGGAGACTCTGGGGACTTACGATGACATGGGGTTCTTAACGGTTTCCTACGATGGCCAGCTGCTAGCTTGCACAAACGGTTCAACGATCAGCATCTGGGATCTTTCCACAAAGTCTTCCTTCAATCTAGAGAACAAGAACAGATGTGAGGCAGTGGCAATTTCGCCTGACAATATGACCTTGGTCGTTCTCTCTGGAACCCGCGCTTTAGGACTGTGGAACTTGCGTTCACGTCGATTGTACAATTATTTGTCTCTCCTTACTTGGTCAGAGACCATTCACTTTTCCGAGGACGGCAAATACATCAGTGCAGATAATCAGTCATATCACGCAGAGAGTGACGGTGAAGGTCAGGTGGTCTCTATATCACTTATTGATGATCAATTGAGAATGGAAAACCAATGGGCATACCTCGGAAATGAGAGGTTTCTCTGGATCCCGGAAGAATATGGACAGTCAAAAATATACTGTGGGATGACGGCACACCGTAGGGATCAAACGCTTTGTCTTGATTCTAGTCATGGAAACATATCATGTATCAGCTTTGATAGAAATGCAAGATGGGACCCTCTTTGACGTGACTATATATTGGCAACATAACAGGCCTAATAATTTGATATTCAAAACTTTCAAATATGCCTATACTTCTAATGAAGTATAGATTGCCTTCTTCTATTACATTTTTGAGTTGATGAAGTTCACCATTGAGAGGACATCAGACGCGGATTATTCACTATAATATTCCTTATACTGGCTGATCGTGGAGAAGAGAAAACCCTCAAATCCGCACGATGTTATTGTTTGCAGAGGAGCGAGCTTTGAACCTGGGGCTTACTCTACATCATATACGGTGCCTCGCAAAAAGTCTGCATAATCACAAATCGGCATTGAATTTTCGCGCGTGCTGTACCGGTACACACAACCCGGAGAATAAGCCCTCCCGCTGCTACAATAGTTGATGGAACAACAATCTAGATTCTTTGTTCCGTTTCACTAATACCATTGTTCTTCTTCGCAAGGTGGAGGGCGACTTTATCTGCGAACCAACCAGAGTATGCCCACCCGAGGAACGAGCCAATGGTTGCTGCATCGAAATTAGTAGCATGCCCATTGTACAACACCTTTTAAGACACCAGTTTGAACTCACAAGCAAGGCATGATAGTCTTACCATGTTGGGAGAAAATCTATATACAGCTCCTGCTAGAATGAAAGCAACTGTGGCATCGCTGGCTTGGTACAAACGAAAGCAGGCTCCGTAGTTCGTCAAAATGGAATACTGAATTCGTGGCGACGCCCACACTCATAATGTAAAAATTCAGCCAGTAATATAACTAATACATTTACTCCGTAGATGAAATGTAAAAAAAATTCAATGGAGAGAGCTCGAATTAGTAGCTAAATCCTAGTTCCCCTCTCTTCCTTTCTCTTCCTATTAACCCTATCATATAGGAATCTTATAAAGCTCTTTCTCTATTTATTGTGTAGCAACATGGAGGATTAGAGCACCTGGTTAAGTGGGCAAGAACGTCTGGGTCTTGGGAACCTGGGAAGGTTCCCCCGGTCCACGGGTCCACTTCCAACCTTCCAAGGTTTCCAAGGTTTCCAAGGTTGTTATTCTTGATATTATGTAATAAATATTCGTCTCTAGCCTGCCCGCCTCTGGCTAGGTAGTGGGTGCTGACGTGCTGACCTCCCGAGATCGGGATTGTGCCGACCTCATGTCGGGCCCCGGCCCGACCTACCCTCTGGGCAAGCTTATCTAATACTTTAAACTGGACCGTGCCCATGTGGACACTCTGTAGGGCTCAGGGGCGTGCTCAATTTTACTCGGACAGGTGTATATGTGTGGACGTTTGGGTATACTCACCATCTAGTTAATAAACCACCCACATATGTTGTAATAATTAGTATGCCCTTCATCCGATTGTCAGGCCATTTTATTCTCTACATTGCACCATATCCTAGGTGCATCCACACTACTGTATCTCAAACCAAGGAAATGCACATCCACATTCCAAGCAAGGAGGATATAAAGCCACGCTATCGAATGTGCTCCATACCACCACGTTAGTTGCAGCAAGGCGTGCATGCGTACCCGACGGCCGAGACGGCCCTACAAAGGAATCCACGCCATTCTCATTAGAAGACGCCATACCTCCCCGAATGAGCAAGGCTTTCCCCCTCAATTTACAAAACGCCGTTTTACAACGTACATCAGATATTGGCAAGGGGATGATGCAGCTCTACAAAGTAGAACGAAGCCAAGCCCTCCAGCCGCTATATACCGCAGCCCTCGGGTTTTGGTTCTGCTCTGGGCTCCACTAGGCCTGTTTGAAAGTAACCTGAGACGGTGATTGCACAGAATAGAGGAGCCGATGTCCTCCCGTGTTGCGTTTACCAAGGGGCCCCCTTGCACTGAAATCGGGAAAATGGTGGGTGCGGGAATTTTTAGTTTGATTTTTTGCGGGGGAGGACGAAATGAACTTAACTCCACGTCATGTTCTCCCGATATCTCTTCTATATTTACATATTCGAGCTAGATAGGAGCTCGGAGATTATGTCTTTTACGGTAAGAGACCCCGGGCTTTCAGTAAGGAGGCGCTCCAAATTACTGTCAGCTGTGATAGGGGCTTGCGGTAAGTTTTTTTCAATTATTTGATCACATTCTTTTCTTCTATCTCACTTGCGCCGTTGGTCTTCAGAACCAACAGTTGGCGGTTTCTAACTTCAACACTGGAGCCAAAATGCCTGCAAGGGGTCAATTAGTGGCTGCTCACCCTTAGCTCCAAGATCCTGGCCGGTGAGTTATCAGTTAGCGCTGATAGGAGAGCAAACCCCGACTGTTGACCGACATTCGCACAACGCGAGCAAGTGAACGCGATATCGCGGAGAATGACCGAGAAATTCAAGGAATTTATTTCCGGCCTGCTGGTTCTACTAAGGGAAATATTATCATAGGTCATCGACCGTTCCTTGGAACTATAATACGTGATATACAACCCACAGGGAGAATATGATCACATCCATACCGTAATTCCTTGGTGGGAAAGCTCGCGGAGTTAATAGCCATATTCCCTAGAAAGAGCCCACCTAGCTTAGCTTCCTAGCTTCCTTAACACCAGAATGGGGGATAGCTGCCCGAGCTTCTCCCATTAGTGTGTCGCCATGCGCGCGTCGGAGATTAATTTTGTGGCTTTTTGGAACATGTGGAGGATATTTATTTTAGAGCTCCTGTTTGCTGGTATATTTAACCCAGTGTATTATTTTTATGTACAACATACCTTGTTACTTCACATGGGAGAAGTGATCGACATGGAAGTGAGATATTTCCGATCTGTTAATAGTTCACATCGTAATATTCATTTTCATTCTTACTATTGTACATGGTACAAGGTACATTAATAAAATTTCTCTCGTATACATTCCATTACCAATAATTACCAACCCTTTTAGCGGCTTAGCCACAAGCCCAAAGAGGGGCGCCTTGTATGGGTCAAATCAGAGAGCTCACCAACAGCGTCATATCATCTCTCAATCGCCAAGATGAAACGAAATGCGGGGTAACGGTAACTAGTCAGAGCTTCTTAGATCATCTCACCAACAACCGAGGGAAAAAAAAGAGAGAGAGAGAAAAGCAGAGTCGAACTTTAACGCTCGTGAAAGCCATTGTCCTTGCGTGATTCTCATGCAGCTTGGGAACAGCCTTTGACCAGCTTCCGACTCTCTTTTCTCCTGCGTGCATTTTGCTTATTCCAAAAAAAAGACGGTAGACCTTCCTTTCAACCAAATATGATACAGCCCCCAAATGAGTCCATCCATATCCGGAGGTCATCTACCCCACAAAAGAAACTAGTCTGCACAGAAAGACAAAGGATCCGAAGACCAGGCTCTTGGGTATATTTGACTGACGCCTCAGTTCTTTTGCCCATGTCAGCACACCGATTTTTCGATTTTCTCTTGTCTCCGCGTCAAGCTCACCAGCCGCCCTGCTTTGCAGAATCGTAATATGGAAGTATGCATATGTGCCTTAAGCAAAGCATGCATGCTGTGCTGTACCTACCTGATCAATCTACGCATATATTGTAGCCGAGCGATTGCCGTTTCATCTAGCGTGCATCGATGGAAACCGATTAGGGCGTGGTCAATGAGAGTCGCAGTTTATCTCCTAGGGGCTGATCGGGCGGAGACTTTGGCGCTTTCTTCTGTTGGCTGGATTTCTTTTCAAAGTTTCGTAGTGTCGCCACGAGCGCGTCTGTGAGTCTGGACCCTTCGAGAGGAAATGAAGATGGGCTGTGTAAGCTGGACACTACAATATACAGTAGCCTTTCTTGGATTTCATCTACATTCGTCTTTCTTACAACCGTTTTTTATTCGAATAATTTCAATAATTACATTTTGGCTGATTCCGTGCTAGGTTATGTCCGATTACCTCAATGGCTGAAGTGGGCTGCATCCGTAGCCTCTAATAGCGAAGTGATGTGGGTCCTCAAGTCCACACATGCTCTTGCCTCGTACACTGCGTGCATCATCAAGAGCCGGACGTATCATGAGTGTAGAACTATTGGTCCTCTGAATGAGATCTACTTCTCTCTAGCCATCAACTGTCTGCGGGAATAGATCTGCGCCACACAATTAGGCAGAGCTCTACGGCGTACTCCGTACCTAAGTTGCAAGTATACTTCCTATGTAGATGGCGCTTGCCGATCACGAAAAGAGAGAAAGAAAGGCGAAAAATAAAGCCACAGAGCGTCAGCCATTATTACTCCGGCGTAATAAGGTTATAGGGTCAGAAGATCGCTACTATTAAGATGACTGTGAGTGGGTTGCCACGTTCAGGAGCATTTACCACCAAAACGCCTCAGGTTCTATTTGTGTTTCAGCTTACTTTCCTTTCCAGTGAGATATCTTACCCACTCTGGTATCTCCTGCCTGTGATCTTCACCGCATAGTTCCTCTGTTGCGCGAAGACCGAAGCTTCTTGCGACACCTGAGCCTATCGACTAGCAACTCGAGACATGCCGGTCTAAACCGAGGCTACCCGACGCACCTTGTGATGAGGCGACAGGTTATCTGTTTGATCTGTTAAGAGACATGGTTTCGCCACCGGAATTTTAGAGCCAAGATGTGGATAGTAAGCCAATTATTCCGTAACGGCCTTCTGTTTCCGGTCTACAGCAGACTTTAAGTGTGGCGGCAGGAAGTCGTTGAAGCCGAGTGATCGACGCAGTTACGTCGATAAAAAGCAATTATAATGATTGATGTGGGCAATAGGCAATACGATGGGGGGGGGAGTACGGTGAAGAGAATAAATAATCCCTTGTTCATCAGGGATGTGGCACTCTATTTTATCAGGGATAGCATGGTGTATCGCAAAGTCTATATCAAGCCTTGAGATTAATTTGAAACCCTTGAATGTGAGTATGATCGAGAATCAACACCATTCCCAACTCTGTAGATTGTATACAATTTTGAAACAAGTGGAGAGACGGGAACAGCCCCAACCTTAAGGAGATGGGACCCGAAGCCTTGAGGCTGTTCGGAGTGGACAAGCGGGAGAGCTGGGGTACCTGACCCG